ATGCGCCGCGTCCTCCGGCTGCTCCTCGGCTGCTTCCTCACCGAGCTGTGCGCCCGCGTGTGCCGGGCGCAGGAGCGAGCGGGGCACGGGGCAGCTGGCGCAGCTGGGCGGCGTGGTGGTGCTGGCGGGGGGCAACCGCTCCGGGGCCGCCTCCGGAGAGGTTGGCGAGGGCGTGGGGGTCTCGGACGCGCCCCCGACCCGGGCGCCCACGCCGGACTTCTGCCGGGGCTACTTCGATGTCATGGGCCAGTGGGACCCGCCGTTCAACTGCAGCTCGGGCGACTTCATCTTCTGCTGCGGGACTTGTGGCTTCCGGTTCTGCTGCACGTTTAAGAAGCGACGACTGAACCAAAGCACCTGCACCAACTACGACACTCCGCTCTGGCTCAACACCGGCAAGCCCCCCGCGCGCAAGGACGACCCCCTACACGACCCCACCAAGGACAAGACCAACCTGATCGTTTACATCATCTGCGGGGTGGTGGCCGTCATGGTGCTGGTGGGCATCTTCACCAAGCTGGGACTGGAGAAGGCGCACCGGCCCCAAAGGGAGCACATGTCCAGGTGGGCTGCCTCCCCCCTTGCCCTCTCCTCTGGGCGCCGCACTCCCTACTCTCCCCTCTCCACCTTTCCGGAGGCAATGGCTCTCCCCCAACCCCGGCCTCTCGGCGGGGAATGTCACTCGGGGAGCCAACTTCGGTTAGGAGCGCGGAGAGGGGGCGCTGGGCTCAGCACAGGTGTGGATATACGCGTGTGTGTTGGGGTTTTCCCCCCATCCTTGCCCTCTTGCGGCCCCCTCCCACCGGGATTGAAGCGGACTTGAGACACAGAGCCTGAGAGCCCGTGGCTCCGAAATCTTGGGTTTTGGGGAGGGGGTCCAGCCCTCGCATTCCAGATACTATCCTCTAGGTAAACAGGGGCCGCCAAGCCCGAAAGGGAAGGGGGGCGTGTGTGAGCCCGCGCGCGCGTGTGTGCGGGAGGGAGGGAGGGAGGCAAGGAGTGTGTGCCGCCTGCAACTCGTACGACTCGCGAAAATGTGGCGAGGGAGGTGGAGAGTGCGGGGAGGGCGAGAACAAAAGCTTTGCTTGGAGCGGCCGCCTCGCTTTCCCTGAGCTGCCAGGTCCCTGAAAATTGGGACCTCGCTCCCCCATCCCCTGCCTTAACCCCCTCGTCCCTCTCTTCTGTCGCCACCTCTCCCTGCCGAGGACAGCGACTTCAACTGCGCTCTGCGCCCCTCTCCCGGGCTGGCGTGGCCTCCAAGGGCCAGACCCCCCTCCCCGCGCGCCTTCACCTCCCAGACACCCTGATTCGTCAACTTTCCCTTTTGCCTTATTCATTATGCAAGTCCCAGCACGAGCAAGTCGCAGCAGATGGGAGAAGGCATCTGGGGATTAATAGAGCTATTGCCTTTTGCCTTTTTTTTTTTTGAGTGTCTAAATCGATTCGCACAACCCAGTAACTTGGAGGCGGAGGGCGCAGCCGCTAGGATTCAGCCCCTCGCCAGGGAGAGGCCAAGGGTTAGCGTGAGGTCCGGGCGGGCGGGGTTGAAGTGCCACTGGCGGCCTGTGAACAACTGGATGACTGGGGCGCAGGTTTATTCTCTTTCCGAATTTGGGCAGCAGAGTTGCCATATGTCCCCACCCCCTACCACACACACACGCGCACACACACACACACCCCGCACCTCCGGGTGCCTGTGCGCGCGCGTGTGTCTGCACGCGCTCCGTGTGCCTGCCTAAAAAAATCTCAACAAAGAGACCCACCAAAAATAGGCGAAGGAACATCACCATCTCACTAGTAATTATTTTCTATTTATACGCAGAGTATCCGATATATTTTTTTCCCCCAGACGGGAGCGATTGGGGGAAGAGGTGAGGAAGTTCATCTCTGTTTGGGTCAGCAAGAATGTGGGGATGGATGGTGAGGTCTGGAGGCACAGAAGTAAGCTCCCAGGGAATTCAAGAAAGCCTGACCTACTAAAAGAGTAAAGCGCGAGCCACGCCCACCTCCTGCAACCCCCAGGTGCCCCGTCGCCAACCCTGCGGGCCAGGCGGGCCGCCTGGTTTCGCTTCCAACCCTTGCAGTCCTCGCCAGGGGTCTGTGTTAAGGTGAGAGTGAGATACGGAAGCAGGACTGCAGCAGCGACTGTTGCCTTGGTAGGGAAGGATTCACTCAGGGAGAGGTAGGCTGCCTTGCAGATTCGGGTTAATTCCTCTGCTGAAATCTCCCTGGAGCCTTGGCTTTGCAAACCAGCGCTTCCGGGAATCTTCCTCGTTGTTTCGGGTAGGGTTGGGGGTGGAGAGGCGGGAGGAGGGATGAGGGTATGGGGTGCGGAGCTAACCTCTGGGCGTCTGTGGGAGAAGGTGATGCTAGCTTCAGGCCGGCAAGGACTCAACTTCCTGGTCCTGCCCCCTTGCAGCTCTGTTTATTCCAGGCCAGCAGGCTGCAGCCACCTTCTGCAGGTACCAGGAAAGGATTGCTTGGAGGTGAAATCTAGGGATACCCAGTCCTGGGGTAACAGAGCCTCAATGCAGGCTCTGCTTGCATACATTTTGGGAATTCCAGAATGGAATGGAAATGCTGAAGAGAAAGGATGGTTGATTTTTACTGGTTAACTCCTAAGATATGGTTTTCAACCTTGGCAAATATTTAGGATCACCTGGAATGCTTTTCTAAAAATCCTGTTGCCCAGGGCCCCACCCTAGACGGTTCACATCAGAATCTCTAGGGGTAGGACCTGAACATCCACACTTTCTTAAAGCTCTCCTCCAGGTTTTACAGTGTTCAGCCAATCACTGTCCAGGAAAAGGAAGTAACATTTGCTGAGTGCAGTTCTGAGTGCCAGGCACTATACTAGGGGTGTGTACGTGTGCATGTGCTTGTGTGTGTGTGTGTGTAAACCTCTCAGTTTGCACAGCTATGAGACTGATGCTATTTTTAAGCACCCCCCTTACATAGGTGCAAATCATGGCTGAGGTTGGGTAGCTTGCTCAAGGTCACATGGAAAAATTGTACAATCCCTAATCCCCTGGTTTCAGCTATGTCTGGGACACACAGTATTCTGTTTCAATGAGTGTCAGAATTTGAGAAGCTTCCTAAAATGCACATTCTTGAGTTTGATCCGGAGAGATTCTGCATCCACCAGTCTGGGCCTCAGAAATTTGCATTTAACCACCTCCCTGAATGGCTCATGTGAAGTGATCCACACTTGGAGAAATACTGGTCTTGATTTGGGAATATTTTACAGGGTTGAGGATGGATGAATTAAACCAGTGTGACTCTTATTTACATTCTGTTGCTGGTTTGCCCCGAGTGTGTAGCCTTTATGTGTATTTCTGTGGTGCTGGGGACTGTCCCGAGTATTCACGAAAGGCATCATGCGCTGCTCATGCAGTTAATCATTTCAAGTCCCAGACACAGCGGTGTGCTCCTTAGCTTTTGCCTGTATGTGCTATGGGATGTTTGGGTGGGTCCAGCACACCAAGCTTGGCATCAGAGAGCCGATGCAGTGGCTTCCAGGTAAAATTAACCTGCTGGCTGCAATCTGTTTATTTTGTCTCAGGCTGCTAAGGTCGCTGGAATGGGGAATTTGTTCTTAACCTCATCTAAAAGGACCTTCTCCTCAAAGACTTACAGCACGTGCTGCTCCCACGTCAAACACTAACTGTTCCTGGTGCCCAGTGTGCTTGAGTTTGGTGATGTCAATTTCCAGGCTCAGAGCCCTGGGCACATCACCCTCTTCTTTCTGGGCTGATTAGGACTGAAAAAGGGGAGAGACGGCAATTCCAGGAGGGTGTGCGGGCCTCGTCTGTGGTGTTGGGAAAACTGGACAGACGCTCATCGAGCCGCTGTAACAGCAGTCACCTTCAACCACTGTTTATTAGAAGAAGTGACCACAAATGGTGGTCAGCGATGGGTAACAAATGGTGCAGACACGTTTTTTGTTTGGTCTGCAAGGTCATTCTATTCACGTATTTTTAAGTTTTCCTCAATTTTTAAAATTGTGGAACATTTTAGACAGTTAGAAAACTTGAAAGAAGAATAAACGCAAACTCCAGTATATCCTTCATCTAGAGCTGGGCTTCTTACCCTCGGCACCCTCGACACAGGGGCTGGATAGTCCTTTGCTGCGGGAGGCCATCCTGTGCGTTGCAGGATGTTTGGCAGTATCCCGGGACTCTACCTACGAGGTGCCAGTAGCACCCACCCCACACTCCAGTCGGGACAGTAAAATAGGTCCTCAGATGTTGCGCAAAGTCAGAGGCAGAATCGCTCCGAGTTGAGAACTACTAATTTAGATTGAACAATTATTAGTGTTTTGTCATGTTGGCTTTATGGCTATCTCTCTTTCCATATATTCTTCTTTCTTTCCTTCCTTCTGTTTTTTTTTTCCCTTCCTCCCTCTCTCCACCCTCCTCTCCTTTTTTCTCTTTTTCACCTGAGGCATTTGAAAATGAGTTGCAGATGGGACATTTTATCTTACACACTTCAGTGTGGGGCTCCTAAGAACAAGGGCATTCTCACACATAACACAATTCCAGTATCACACCCAAGAAAGAACAAAAATCCCCTAAGATCATCAAATGTCCAGTCATATTACAGTTTTCCCAATCATACAGCAGAAATGTCTTTCAGAGCTTGGTTTTTCAAACCGGGATCCAGTCAAGGCTCACTGCGTTTGGCTGTGAAATCTCTTTAGTCTCTATTATGTACAGTGTTTTAAAACCAACTTAGAACCAATTGCCAACATTTAAAAACTGGGAGATTCCACACAGAAATCCAGATTTCGGGTTTGCCTTGAGAAAGCGATAGGTCGGGTAACACTGGACCTGCATTTTCAAACCGCGGCTGTTCGGTTACTGCTGAGCCGGACCGCTCCTCTCTGCTTCCTCTCAGTTGCCACCCATTCCCCTCCCCCCATTCACTCAGTCCGGTCACCTGCAGTCCCCAGAGAGGACAATCAGCCTGATCTTAACAGAAATGGGCTCAAGTCAGACGGCTCCAGATTCAGTCCCAGCTCAGCCACGTTAACAGCTGTGATTTTTGGGAAAGTTACTTCACTCCTCTGAGTTTCAGGTTCTTGTCGATGAGGGTCCCTATGTCATAAGCTTGTGTGAGGATTCACTGAGACTGGACGTTAGAACGCTCTTAGCGCCATATGGTCCTACCGTATGGTCACTGCTCAGTGACTGTTACTCTTTGTCATTATCCTTATTATTGGCATTTTCTACCCCTTATCTACTGAAGGGGGGTGATGCTGTAGCCTGGAACGCTGTCCAGCCCCTGCTCTGCTACATCTCTTTAGCTATGTGACATTGGCCAATTCTCGTCACCTCTCTGGGCTTGCCTTTAGCAGGAGAGGTGGCAGGTTCTGAACAGGAGAGATGTTGGATCCAGGTATGACTACGTTAGACACATGACAAAGTTTTGGCCTGGGAGACATTGAAGAACACCTGCTCGTTTTGCTATTTTGCCATAAGCTTGTATGTAAATTCTCATTTAACTTCATGTCCCTCCCCAGTGAGGTCAGCCTTGTGACCATCTGCCTTTCACAGAGGCACAGA